TTGAACCACAATACCGACAAGTGATTAATAAAAGTCAAAAGACCAAAGAGGTCACCTTAAAAAAAAAAAAAAAAAAAGAAATAGTGTCTTAAACCTTTTTATATTTTTTTTCTATAATTTAGTTTTTTTGATTATTATTTAAAAAATTATTGAAAAGAATTAAATTATTTGTTAAATAAAATCATTATATTTAAAGATAAGGAAATTATTACATTAAGTATATTATAATAATTCAATTATTAATAGCAATTTTGCTTTTTTGATTTTTGATCATATTTGATAATTAAATATAGACAAAAAATAATATATATATATAGAATTTAACAGTTGTTACAAATAAAATTTCTAATAATAAGTCAAATAGTGAAGTACCTAAATTATATATATATAAATTTAGACAAATTTTGTTTTTTTTTGATTTATTTAGATAAAAAAAAAACCATCTTTTTATAAATTCCAAGAGTGGTTTATAATAAAATTGTCGAGAATCTTGATCTCGAAGTTAACCGATTTTTGCTGTTTGTTTATATGTTATACATATCATTTAACCAAAATAAACAATTAGAGCCGTCAATTTAATTGACAGTCCTAATTGCTTGTTTTGGTTAAATGATATGCATAACATATAAAAACCAGTAAAAATCAGCAAAAAATTTGGTTAACTTCGGGATCAAGATTCTTCGACAATTTTATTATAAACCACTCTTGAAATTTTATAAAAAGATCCTTTTAATGCTAAAGAATTACAAAATAATTTTCAAAAATTAAATTAACAACTTCTTTCTTGTCTAAATAAATCGAAAAAGCAAAATTTGGCTAAATTTTACATATAAAATTGCTAAATACTGATGATGTTTTATTTCTGTGCTTTTAATTAAAATTGTTCAAAATTAAATTCTGTTCATCCTATCTTAGAAGTGGAAAGAATAATATCTTCTCTGAACTCGGAATTTAGTTCTGAGCAACTTTAATTAAAGATTCAAAAAGAAAAAAAAACATTTAGAAAATTGGCTATGAATAATCGTAGCCGTTCGTAACCGAACCCATCCATAATAGAATTAACTACTTAAGTTATACATAATGATCTAAACTAATCCACTTATTGTGTAACGCTCTTATCCGCAACAAATGAGTATAAATTGATGTTCGGTTCGCCATTTTTCGTTATAGCTTAAAAATGGATTTAAAAATGGATTCTACGATTACTTTGAATGATGGAAATAAAATTCCGATGATAGGTATGTTATTACAGTTGAGATGATTACTGTTACTTCGATAAAGACTTATTTAACTAGAAATATCTTTTAGGACTAGGTCTTTTTAAGGCACCAAGTGATAAGCCTACACAACAAGCAATTTTATGGGCTTTAGAGGCAAGCTATCAATGATTATATCGAAATTTCACAATAATAAAAATAACAATGCTAGTTTTTAACAGGCAGGATATAGGCATTTCGACACAGCAGCTATTTATGGTAACGAAAAAGATGTTGGAATTGCTATTGCAAATAGGTAGGTTATAGCGATAACGATAGGGCTTTGTCGATTAAGATAAATGCTTATTAATACAGCTCATTTTGTGATCTAAATTAAAAAAAACCGATTACTTATCGTTATAACTCTGGACAAGTTTGTAGATCATTTGGCCAGATTCGGAATCAAAAAACTCTGAAATTGACCAAACGATTTACAAATTTGACCAGAGTTATAAGCAACCTAGCTTATATTTCGCAGTTCACATGACTCGCGCGAAATGTGAGATGAACTCATACAAATTATATGTTTTTGTGATAGCTTTGTTCCTGTCTTTTTTTTAATTAAACAAACATTTGCGTTTGATAAATGGGTCCATATTATTTCACCGACAAGTCATCTGGCAGACATCACATAATATAACGATAACAAATTACAAATTAGCCACAAATTTAATATCTTGATTTTCATAACATTGAATTTTATAAAATTTTTGTAAAAATTTTTTTAAAAACCCACCCGATTATTAAAACATATAAAAAAATTTTTTTACAAGCTTTTAAATTTTGACCCGGCCGGGTTATGAAAACCAATTAATTAAATAATTACTAATTTTTAGTGGAATCCCTCGAGAAGAGATTTTTATAACCACAAAAGTTTGGAATACTGGTAAGTTCATCTTTAACGTTATATTTATCTTCAGGGCATTCTATTTTCACTCGAGTTAATTGGTTAGTCTGATTCGATTGAACCAATTTAAAATTACGTCTAAATCTGGGCTTTCTGGACTAACTGATTGGTCGGTCACGTGCCAAAACTTGGCTATAAATGTTGGTCAAGGCTATTTTCAAATTATATAGATTTATATAGGATTCGAGGACCATCTTATCACCAAAATTTACATATTATCTAAAAGGGGCACTCATTTTCGGAGGGATATGGTACTTCGAATTCTGCAAACTTACAATATTAGAGTTTAATAATCGCCTACCTTCTTCGATAATTGCTTGGATAATTCGATGCTCGAGATGATTTTTTCCTAAGTTGAAAAAATATACATACTTTAATAATCGTCTACGTTTTACAAACGTTGAACCATTTTCAAACCTCACAAGTCTATAGAGTTCGAATATCGAAAAGAATTATGGGTCGTCGAAAAATTTATTAACTTTAGGCCATATGACGGATAACTTCAATCTGGATGAAAATGAAATCACAGCTATTATTTGTTAAGAACGAAGTGATGTGACAGTATACATTGAAAAGTTAAATTTGCGTTATGATTCAACTTTTGCTTGTGATGAAATATTTGCCCTGATTCATAATGATTCCTATCTTCTAGTCATACTAAATTATAAAAATTTTATAGATCAGGGCTATGAGTCGACTCTTAAAGCTGCAGAAAAATCATTGGAAAATCTTCAAACTGATTATATTGATTTGCTAATTTTGCATTCTCCTTTGCCCGGTCCTAAAAAACGAGCGGAAAGTTATAAAGCATTACAGGAATTGGTTAAGCGAAAATTAGTAAAAAGTATTGGAGTTTCGAATTATGGAGTAAAACATTTGAAAGAATTATTAGATAGTAATCCAGAGATTAAACCTACATTAAATCAGATTGAGGTAATATAAAGTTATTTCATAATATTTGTGTAAGCATGTCGATATTTTTTTTTAAAGAAAAAAAAAAAAACAAAGAATTTTGCATTTAGATTCATCCATGGTTAACTCGAAGTGATATTGTATCCTTTTGCAATGAGCACAATATTGTTGTTGAAGCTTATTGTCCACTTACCAGAGGACAAAAACTCAATGATCCTACTCTTGTTCGCATTGCTAAGGAATACGGAAAAACACCAGCACAAATTTTGGTTCGATGGGTAAGCGCAAGTTTATACTCAACACTTTAATAGTAATGCATCATAATATTAGACATCATTTATTCTTCATTAACAGGGCCTTCAACATAATTTTGTGACATTACCAAAAAGTGTCAATAAGGAACGTATCATTGAGAATGCAAATGTTTACGATTTTGAAATCAAGAAAGAGGATATGGAAACCCTTGATAGTCTGGATGAATACCTTGTTGTTTGTATGTTTTATCTTTTTTAATCAGTCTGCCATTAATGTTTATTATAGATCTTTTTTTCATTTTATTTTTTTTTCAGCCTGGGACCCTACTGTAGCTGATTGAGTTTTTTTCAAAATTATTAAATCAACTTGTAAGATCCAAGAAAGATCTAATTAACTATTATACGATGTGAGATCATATTTGAATTTATTAAATAACAACTTATTAAATAAAAAACCTATCATATATATTAAAATATTAATTATGATTGCCTGACTATTAATCATTGTACAGTGACATTAAATGCTTATTAACAACTTGGTTTGCCTTCGAAATACCATTTTTTTTAACCTTTTCCTTTATATTGTCTGACAATTTCAAAAATTTTTTCTTCAATTGTTCATCTTTCATAAAATCTTTCATAGCATCTTCATATAACAATTCTACCATTTTCATCTCATCGTTTTTATCTTTAGTGTTCTGTTTTGAAATTACCGAGTTCAATCTGTTCATGTTAATAAACTCACTAAGATCCATTATAATTTTGTCAAACGACGTTACTCTTCTTTTCTTATTTGATTTATCTGGGTTCTTTTTTCGTTCATCAAAATCTGAGGCTTTAATCTTAAGTATAACACGATGTCTTTTCGAGGTTCGGATGTTCTTAGCTGGTTTAATTACAATTCCTTCAGCCATATTTTTATCAAAAGGAGGTGGTAATGGAGTTGGATAACCAAGTAATTTTGGTATAGTAGTAGTAAAATTTGGATCAAACTGAATAACATTTTTGTAACTATCTTTGATCAATGGTTTTAAATAAGGGATATCTGAAACTTTTAATAATTCTTTCATTATATCAAAATCTAATAAATCTACACCATCGAATAAATCGAAAGCTATAAATTCGATTTTTGGCGAATAAAAAACACCACGTTGAATTGGGTATGATTTTTCTTTAACATCTTTAGTTATATCAGGATGGGGATATTTTCCGCCGAATAATTCACCATAGATAATAATCATTTCACCCCTAATAAGGTTCTTTGAAAGCATTAATTTGTGAAGTGATAAAATTTGTAAAGTGTATTTTGCAAGCATAGACTGATAATTGTAGAAATCTTCGTCTGGAGCAATAAAGCCATTACGACGAGCACATTTGATTTCATGGCCGTTAGTAAAAAAAGAAAAATTAGCACCATGAATTTTTTCAGTTGCTATCCAACTGTTTAAAAAAACTTTAGTTATATCGATATAAGGATGAAATTAACTATAAATACAAAGTTAATTTTACATACTCACAAGAGTTCAACACGTCTTCCTTAGTAAAATGATTAATGGTTACTAAATTATAACTGTTTTCAATCGATTCGTATGGGACAAAGGTGCCCCACTTTGCTGGGACTAAAGAAACATTGGTGGATTCGTTCACATTGCTAGCATCAATTACACCACTATTTGCATTATCCAAAGACATTGTTATCACTATGTGAATCTAATTCATCAATACAACATAGATGACGGAAATGCTTAACATAAAAATTCAATTTATATACTTGGAGTATGTTACGGCAACAAAAGATTTTTATTTAAATTGACATTTATGGTCAGAATTAGAGTCTGGAATGAGGTTTATTTTTTATGTTAAGCCCGATTAAAATCGGACATATGGATAACAACTCCGTCCGTTTCAAACTCTAGTCAGAATTAGAGTCTGGAATGAGGTTTATTTTTTATGTTAAGCCCAATTAAAATCGGACATATGAATAACAAACTCCGTCCGTTTCAAACTCTAGTCAGAATATTCGTATGCGGCTTAGACATTTAAATCCTAATTACGAGATACAAATCGCCAATTTCTAAAATCATGTGATGTACTTCATGCAGTTGTAAACAGGAGTCCTTCACACGATGTAGTCAATCAATAATAAAATTATTTATTTTGTGTTTACTCTAAAATGTATGTTATGGATATAATCCCTCGCCCCGTCGTTCACACGGGGTGATCAGTTAAACCGAAATTATTTATATGTAACTTCAAGTGTAATGGATATAATCACTCACTTGGTGTAACATTAAGGGTTCCTTTGTATTGTTTAATAGACGTTAACTCTACCAGGGCCACCTGCCGTAGTTGCAGCAGATGAATCAGTATTGGATTTATAGTGCTACGTATTTCTATGAAGATTTTGACACTGTATTGCATTTTTGCATATTGAACATAGGTGGTGCCACCACGTGATCCGTATTTTTGAAGGCCACTCTGGTAAAGTTTATAGTCAGTGATGTATGGGTAATTAGGACGTTCTTTATCAGTTATAGAACATACTTCATCATTAAACCACTAGCCGCCATACGTTGCATTTAATTTTCATCATATTTATATAATATATAGTGTATATGGTTCATTATAAACTGAAAAAATTACGTGTGTAAAATTTAAACCGCGACGGTTATTGTTATGTGTCCACAAAAAGGTTATAATAACTGAAATTATGATACAGTTATTATTCGAAATATAATATTGAATTTATTCGTACGCGCAATAAACAAAGCTTAATAACTGATAATTAGAAGTAGACTAAAATGATTCAATACGATCTAATTTAGATAGAAAATTATAATATATATCTATCGCCGTATAAAATTACAATAAATGAAAATTTTTCATCAAACGTCGAATGAAATAACAACTGCATAATCTCCACAATACATAATAAAGCTGTCTTAAATAAACCATGAATGAATAAAGTAGAACCTATTTATTACTTAAAAAAAAAAAATAATAATACGTATATATATATTTTTTATTGTGTCTTTAAATAATATTGAAAAAACAATTCTGGGCTTGTTAATTTTCAAGGTCCCGAAATATAAAACCACTTAACAAATGTTTCTTTATACCCAAGTAAAGTTTCAAGTGTCGTGATTTATTTTAATATTATTGTAAAGTTATTACGTATATATTTAAACTTTTTTTCAAAATGCTTTGATACATATATTTATTGTACATTTCTAATTTCCTAGCTTAAAAACTGTCTCTAAGTGAAGTGTACCTAAAGTGAGTGAATCCCAGAAATACATAAGATACTTAAAGCTTCGTTTGCGAAGAGTCTTCTGTAGTATTATAAACGACTACAAAAGATTGTGAAAAGTTAATAAATTTTAGCTAAAATGCATAATATACCTGACTATAAAAATTAAACAACTCAATTTCAATGACTACGATATCAATACAGCAGAGACAGTGCCCGATCCAAAGTGAATCCCTCTCGCCTGTGATCAATCACAAATTAAGTTATTTATGTTGTGATGGATATAATCCCTCACCAGTTTTAATATACGTGTAACATTAGCGGTCTTTGCTGTACGATATCAACAGTAATACACCGACAGAAATAGCACTATATAGTAATGATATAATACTTGGCAAAAAAATTACGTAATACGTAGCAACTAATTTTTATTGCACGTAATAATTTTATTTCATTATTATTTACTTTTAACGTTAATTTTAATATTAAATTTATTAACGAATAATTTTTTTAATCCATTTTTAAAAATTTACACTTAAAAAATTTTTATTATTTACTTTTAATGATAATTTTATTAACTTTGTTAATTTATTAAATTTATTACAATTGTAAATATAATACATATTTTTATTAAATTTACAAATAAAAAAACAAATTAAAACTAATATTGAGATACTTAGTTTCAGAGTATGTCTCTTACTTATCCCAACCACCACGAAAAGGTGTATCTCATTGGTTGGGAAGGTAAACCCCAACCAATCTCTCACTCCACCGGTACTAGTCGTGGCTCGGTTCCCGATGGCGCGAGTAGGTTGTTCCCCTTGAATCATTAATACTTTCGTATTTCATCAAGGTAGCTTTAACTCAATTTATACTCTAGAGTTTGAGTATACCTGTTAAAAATATCCACATCCAAGTATTTCCGTCCGAGTATTTCCGTCTGAGTATTTCCGTCTGAGTATTTCCATCCGAGTATTCATGTTCATGTTCGTATTTCCGTTCAAGAATTCGTGTTCGAGTATCCATAATTTATTCGACGGTAAACTGTATATTAAATAAAAGGGTTAGGTGTATTGAATATATTATGTGTTAATTTAGGAATTTAAGAGAGAAGTGGAGAGAAGTAATAGAAATAATGAAGTAGCAAGAGGGAAAAAAGACATCCTTATATAGCTTTGTGATGTTTTTTCTTTGACGCGTAAAAATCGAATTAACGCGTAATACATGTAATTACGTAATTTTTTCACACGAAAAAATTTTTTAGTGATTCCGTTGTCGATTTCCTTAATTGAATATTAAGCAATCGAATACGTTATCATTATGTAATTTATATTCGCATTACTATTGTTCTCTGCGAAATAATCGGAATGAAATCTAGCATAACTGGTTTAGGTCCGGATTTGAATTTGAATCCCGAACCACATGAATTACGTACATACACACGTACGCAATTACTATCGATGTACCCCTTTTTCTGCGATGGGAGGCAAACTCACGAAGAAATATTATGCCGTTCACTACAGTCAAAAATTTTCAAATGCAGATCACTGCAATTGGAAAATTGTCTATGTATTTATTTGGGCACAACCGTCCAGAGGATTCTTATATTACATGTTCATAAAATAACTTGCAAGAAACTTAGAATACGTAATCTTTTAATTTATTGCAGATCATTTCTATATCGCGTAAAATCCCTGACTTCGGTAACAAATTTATCCAAACAAGGTAATATATAGTGGTGCACTTTCGACACGTTTGCCAATATTCACAAATTATGACATCTTTCATCGGAGTTAATGTTACGAAACTATGACACCACCTTCTCATGTGTTAATACATCTTTTGTTTGAAGTCATGTCTCTACGCTGCAGAATACACGTGAGGCCTTCGATAATGTTTTATCTATTATGAAGAATAAAATAAAATTAAATATTCACTCATTAAATTAATTAAAATATGCAAAAGTTTAACCAATGTAAATTATATTATTACATATATACAGTAAAGTAAATATGTATAGATTGCTCCCACAAGGTATTTTGCTACGCAAACTCTACCAGGGCAAATATGGGTCATGTGGTGGCGCCACCACATGATCCGTATTTTTGAAGGCCACCCTGGTAGAGTTATAGATGTTACCGTTATTCTGATACATAAATTAAGAAATATATCAGAAACGTAATTTTGGATTTTTCTGCCTACAACAATAATGCCAGGCTTATACGTAACAGTTTTTAAATCGTCTCCTAGCAAATAAAAACATTAATGTATCAACTGTCACATTCAAATTGGAAAGGATAAACTGCAAACCAACATTATAATGGCAAGTCGGTAGGCGTAATAAAGAGGTGTTTTATCAAATCATTGTTTTTTAATTCTTACTTTATATTTAACAAATATTTTCTATCATAATGTTAAATGTAAAGGTATTATTTGTTATATGAAACTATAGCACTATACAACTCGGATATAATGTGAGGCATTAGTCGATATCAAAAATCTTTCAGGCTTTGTAACATACAGTATATAGTTATAGAATAAAAATTTTCTATTAAGTTTGATTTGATAGTTACTATTTAATTTTAAAAAAAGTTACTGAAATAATTTTCTTGCTTTCTATTGACTTATCCATGTGTAAAAGATTCATATTTAAGTTAACTCAATTAAAATCTTCAGGTATTACTTTGCAGAAACTTGAATTTCTTAATGTACGGTAACTATAGTTACTATTAACTATATAGTTACCATATTGTTACTATGTAGTTACTGCGCATAGGTTTCTGTATACAGTAGTAGTTGTTACCTTCGAAAATTTTTGCCTGCACATCACATACGTATAAGAAATATAAGCTGGATCTTTCGCAGTATAGTAAAGAAGTTACCTAAGAGACCCAAATCTGGAAACCTGAAATAATACTAAGATTCTTTATAATAAACTCTAAAAGACTGTTTTCATAATATATAGAAATATTCTTGGTTATGAATTCGTATAAAATAAGTGACGTTATGAACAATAGATTTATTTCTAGATTGTACGTACGATCATAGAACATCGGGGACAGGCTATGTCAATCTCCGAAATATAACTAAAAGCAATAAAACTAACTCTTTTTCATTGGCTTTAAGATATGAAAATATAACTTAAAGCAAATTAATATATTTAGTCTTCTTTATTTTGCTTTACCATTTTCCCAATAAAAAGTTTTTGCATAAAAATTAAGTAATTTTAACACAATTGTGAGCATCCATACAGTTTTTGTTACAGTGTTTGTAAATAATTTGTAATAAATAAGTTATGTAGCAAATAAAATTATAGCTATTTAAATAGTTATAATTTTCATTTACTATATTTATTACAAATTATGTAACAAAAACTGTATGAATGTTCACAATTGTATTAAAATTGTTAAATTTTATACAAAAACTTTTTATTAGGTTTGCG